TGTGACAAACTTCAATCTAGGAATGACTGCAGAAAGAATAGGCTAATTACTAGTATTTGGTGGTGGATCAAAATCAGAGCTTCCTTGTGGTTATGCGAACATTCAGTGCATTTATCGTTAACATGACAATTACAACGCACACCTTACAACTAATACGTGCCTTGCACTCTTATACATGGACTGCTATTCAGGAACAAATACTACTGGTTGCACGGCTTCTTCTTGGACTTGTGCAGGAAGCCAACCCGTGCCTGATCCTGCAGGGAATCATGTGGACCACCATCAGCTGGTGTACAATGCAGTAAATAATGGTACCTATTGTCCAGCCAGCAAGCATGTTTCCCTGGCCTCTTTTCTTCTCTGCTCACTATTCATGCTTTTCAGACTGAATGTACCAGGCAGAATAGTTTTCTGAAAATGCAAAAGCAAATTAGATTCACACCGCATATATTATATTATACCACTTGACAGCCAAGCATTATCATTTAGACCCCACAGGGATAGGACAGGATACTCCATAAAGCAAATGTGAGCACAGGATTTCACCTAACCAGTAGCAATATCGAGTCTGTACAATGGCAATAGGATACTCTTTTTTTGGGTGGCAAGTGTGGAAAGGAAGGCAAACAAAAGGCAAGGCTAATCATTGATGGTGCGTGTTTGCACGACTCAACGTTTTTCAGCAGATGTTTTTAAAGGAATTCACACCGCACTGTCTTCAAAAGTGACGCATTCGTATCTCACTTATTTTTGTTGATGCACTGATAGGCCAATATGATGGGCCCCCTTTTATTTGGACAAAAGTCTGTAATGGTTGACTCAGAATTATTGAATTATGCCATGTTTGTTTGGCTGATAAGCCATGGCTGAAAGTACTGTTGGCTGATTTGTTGTGAGAGAAAAATACTGTTCGTTGGCTGAAAAAGTACGGCTTATAAGCCAAGCGAACGGGGCGTATCTGTAGTATGCACACATGTGGCTTGTGCAAAACATGTTGCTTTCCAGTGTATTCTTAAAAAAAGAAGAGCGAGTAACTGTGTATCTTAAAATAGAATGCTTAATTTACTCTAAGTTTATGCGTAGATAGGTCAAATTGATCACGACAAATTCCCCTTTTTAATATGAATCCTGCCACACAATAAAAAGGACCACAAACCCTATCGTGTGCCTCACAGCAATGCTTCATGTTTAGGTGGGGAAAAGGGCACCGTGACAAACTTAAATCATTCACTAATGTACTGTGTTGGACAGAACGGTCAATTTGCAGAGACTGTGCACATATTGGTTTACTTGAGCATAACCAGAAATAGAGAGGATTATGATGTTTTGAATTCTAACATTAGTGATCTTTGCATTCAGGAGCTTAATAGCTTTAGATTAATCATTATTTATGCTAGGCAAGGATGCATGCTGGCCATCAGCCCATCACCCTTTTTTGTTGCTTGAGATGCACTCGTTGGTCTTTTGGAGGTGACACGCTCAGTAGTGTTTCAGTCCTTTGTTTCGCCCCGTTCGTTTGCTTTATAAGCCATATTTTTTTAGCTAATAAATAATATTTTTCTCTCACAACAAATCAGCCAATAGTACTTTCAGTCATGACTTATCAACCAAACGAAATGTCATTTATTGGCATGCTACAGTACTAGCTTGTCCTATCTATAATGGTTGGTGCGAGTGGATTGGTGCAGCCGTCGGTGACACAAATAAACACTTCTACATTCTGATATTCTAACCTTTTTGTTTCATTCTTTATTTTATTTTTTATTTGGAAAAAATACTAGTGACAGGTAGATAATATCTGGAGCACACATGAGACTCATCTATAGATGATTTTGCAAATTCAGACAGTATAACCGTAGTACACCGATGACCGATGTATACACACAAACTTTCTATTTCTGATTTCCGTACAAGGGCTATTCTAGCTACTTTGACCTGAAAAAAAAATCATCTCTACAACAACATTACAAATAGTCCGACACTGCCCCCCTTTTTTGTGGTTAGCCCAAGGGTCAGTGCTCAGGTTGCTTGAGTATCACTACTTTCTCTAGAGCTGGACCATATAGCCATGTGCAGGTGTGTGCTGCTCCCATTGCCATTGTACAGACTCGATAGGTGACCATAAAAGAAGAGAGCTAAGCAGTACGGTTCCTGAAGACAGAATGAAGACAGAGGCCGGTCACAAGGCGATAGCAGCAGGTGGCAAGATGACGGTGCTCCATGCTCCAGTTGGAGTGATGAGCATCGTGACCTCCTTGGTGGCTTTCTTCATCTTAGCCAGCTCCATCGTCTTCCTCTTTGACAGAGGCCAGGAAGAGCAAGTGCAAATGGCAGTAGAGCATGGACGCCAAGAAGTGCAGGTGAAGCTGGAAGCTGGGCTCCAAGAACCAGCGATCAGAGGGACAACTGAAGAGGGGGACGCCAGCAACGAGGAGTGCAACTGGTCAAGGGGGCGGTGGGTGTACGACAACGTGTCTCGGCCATTGTACAACGGGCTCAAGTGTGCCTTCATCTTCCCCGAGGTGGCCTGTGACAAATATGGCAGGAAGGATGTCATGTACCAGCACTGGAGGTGGCAGCCTCATGGATGCGACCTCCCAAGGTATGACGATTACAGATTTTCCAAGTATTTTTAGCTCAAGCCCAAAAATTCCAGCATATCTAAAAGTGCAGCTCTCGAGCAATATATAAGCTCTGTCAGTATCAGTCAAGAATTTTCCTAAGGGTAGTAAATGGTTTTGTTTTATAGAAGCATAAAAACACTGAAATAATCTGTAACTGAATAAAAACACAGGATAGTACAGCAGAAAGGAAGAAACAACTAGTACTGAGATTGCAAAACTGATCTCGTTAGAGTTGTTAGCTGGAGGCCAACAAGAAACTAATTAAACATGCATGGCAACTAATTGACAGTGAAAGATCCTACCTTTTATTTTATCATTTGTACCATTTCAAAAGCTTGTACGTAAGAGTAGAAAGGAGATCATATTTAGCATAACTTTGCATGGATTTTTTGACATGCTGTCTGAATTTTACCTTTTCAAAACAGATTCGATGCCATCAAGCTGCTTGAAAAGCTGAGGAACAAGAGATTGGTGTTTGTGGGTGATTCAGTCAACAGGAACCAATGGGTCTCTCTCGTGTGCATGGTGGAGGCCTCAATACCCGATGACAGGCTCAAGATACGCATCTTCAATGGCTCACTCATCTCCTTCAGGGCATTGGTATGCTTCCCTTCACAAATCTACAGCCTACAGAAACCAACAATTTTATTTGGTTAGCCTGTTTGAACATATAATTATTTTTCAGGAATACAATGCAACAATAGATTTCTACTGGTCACCACTACTGGTTGAGTCCAACAGCGACAACCCCATTATTCACCGGGTGGAGTACCGGATCATAAGGGCAGACAGAATTGAGAAGCATGCCAGTGTCTGGAGGGATGCTGACATCGTTGTCTTCAATTCTTACCTGTGGTGGAGGAAGCAGAAGGATGACATGAGGATGAAGGTCATGTAAGTACATTTCTATCCTTCCTAGTCATAACTCATACGCATTGTGCCGTCAGTTTTGCACATCAGAAAAAAGATACCAGAACTGGTCATTTAAAATGCACTAACATAGTTACCAAATGCCATCAGCGACTAGGTAATAAAGCTTTTATATATGTGCAGGTATGGCTCATTTGAAGATGGTGATGCAAAGTTAGACGAAATGGAAATGGTCGATGGTTTCGAGATAGCTCTCAAGAAACTAACCGAATGGCTTGGAGAGAATATTGACAAGAGCAAGACTAGGATCTTTTTTGCAGGATCATCACCAACACATTCCTGGTGAGAGAGATACCCATGAATCATTTGCAACACAAATAGTACAATACCGACATCTCCATGACATCCAGTGTGTTCACATTTTTTGTTACTTTCAGGGCTAGCGACTGGGGTGGAGAAGACAAGAACAAATGCTTTAACGAAACAGAGCCGATCTACAAAACAGGATACAAAGCTGCAACTACAGACTACAGCTTGATGGCCACGGCTAAGTCCTATTTCCGAACATTGGAACCGAAAGGCATACATGTTCAGATACTTAACATCACCGAGCTGTCTGACTACCGGAAGGACGGGCATCCGACGGTGTTCAGGAAGCAATATGTTCCTCTAACGAAAGAGCAAATTGGTGACCCAGCCAGCTACGCGGATTGCACGCATTGGTGCCTCCCCGGAGTTCCTGATGTCTGGAACGAGTTTTTGTATGGCTATCTTGTGCAAAAATGATGTACAAACTGTCAGGTTCGTTTTACCCCTATAATATATAATGTACAGAGGATGCTCTTGTGCAGAGAATGGTTGGACCCTTTACATTTACATGTAGAGACAGGGAAAATGAGAAAAGCAAGGATCTGTCTGTGCATCACCTAATAGGATCAGTGTACTATCTGTTTACATCTAACAGAGCAACATGGTTTTGTAAGAAACTTGTCATTGAAAAGAACAACTTAAAATGATTAACTGTCCTAGACTCCTAGATGTCCCTGAAATTCAGTTCAATTCAATTCAGCCATACCAAGTAAGCAACAAAAGCATACTTGACATTTGAGTGGTGGGCACTAGGTAGGTCAAGGAGAGGAGAGAAAAGAAGAGCAATCTGAAGCTGCTATCGCTGAGCCGAACACAGGTTCCAGTTATCGCCGGCCCGCCGCACACAGCAGCATACAACTCCCGCCGACTCGCGGCCGCGGAGGGGGCACGTCGTCATCGCCGCCCTGGAACTGGAACGCGCTGCTATGGCCACCGGACGTCTAGACGACAGCCGGCTCCGCCGCAGCTATCCAGGCCATGGGCCTCATAGGCTACGGGACATATACGGGCTGAAAGGCCAACCCAGCCCAACCCATGTGAGGAACACTTGGCTGATGTGGCCCGACAACGGCCCAAGTTTAACAGCCGCCGCGCCGGGGTCTGCGATCCTCTCGTCTCGTTTCGTCCTCCTCGGCTATGGCGGCTGCATCTACTGTTTCCTCCTTGATTCCGCCTCCGCTTCCCGAGTTCGACGACGGTAACGCCGCCGACGCCTCGGGCTCAGGCTTGGTCCTCCTCGACAGGTGGTGCTACATCGCCAACCTCGTCAACGCCACGCGCCCGCCACTGGTCTCCCACTTCTGCGTCCACTGCCCCGGCCTCGACTTCCCCAACGCAACTCCCAAGGTCATCACCACCGACGCCGACCTCGTCCTCCTCTGCGTCCCCGTTTACCCCGACACCATCGGCCACGGATGGGACTGGGACTACTTCGTCTACAGCCTGCGCGCCCGTCGCCTATATCTGGTCCCGAACCCGAACCACAGGTGCCTCACCGACTCTGCAACTGTCCTCCTTAGCGACGTGCTCAGCGAGTCCCCTGTGCTCCACGACGTCCCACTGCCGGTGCCGGCAAGGGGCAACTGGAATCCGCTCCTCATGGAACTCGACCCTTACAATTTCCGCGATGTAAAAACAGAGACTCTATCAAGTACATTGAGACGGAATCCTGGTCACCAAGAGAGCTTAATACGGCACCAGCTTAACACGGAGTGGGTGCGCAATAAATGGAGAGGCTTTTATATATGGGATATTATAAAAGTCGGTAATTACAAACAAGCCATTAAAAAAAGTTGAGTTCTCACACATGCGATTGCTTTAAACTCTTTTGTCCTCCGCGCCACTTCCGTCAGATTTGACTCTAACGGTATCAAACTACGGGTGTGAAAAGTCAAAAATACTCTCAGATCTAAATATGCAATTAATTTTTTTAAGCATCTTAATCATCTTAAATTAAAAAACTCAAAATTAGAAAGTTGCAGATCTCGTTGAGATCTACAATATTTATATAAAAACATCTTCAATTGATTCCGTACAAAAAAAATATGATTTTTCTAAGACAGATTAATCATATCAAATCATATCTTTTTTGTACCGAATTAAATGAAGATATTTTTTATAAAAAATTGTAGATATTGTTGAGCTCTACAACTTTCTTGTTTTGAGTTTTTTTTTATTTGAGCTCATTAAGATACTCAAAAAAATTAATTGTATATTCAGACTTGGGGTATTTTTGACTTTTCACACCCATGGTTTGACACCGTTAGAGCCAAATCTGACGAAAATGGCGTGAAGGGCAAAAGAGTTCATAACAGTGGCACATGTGAGAACTCAAATTTTTTTAATGGCTTGTGTGTAATTACCGACTTTTATAATGGCACATAGGTAAAAGTCTCAAACAAATCGTCAAGTATACAAACAATTATATACATATAAGCGGAGATATACAAATATATATATATATATATATATACACAAATACATTTTGCACGAATTGAGTTTCCATGCTAAAAATAAGATACGTGTCTATATATAAATGTATTTTTATTTAATTATTATTTTAATACCCAACTCAGCCACATATATATTATAACATTTATTTATTGTTATTCATATATACGTGCAAGTCTGTACTTTTATCTACTATTTGAAATAGCTAACAATAAATAATATTTATATATTTTATATACATCTTGATTTCTTTGACTTGTCAGTTACTAGAATGATATCTGATTATGGACAGGATTAACGATATTGATCAACACGGTGTTACTAGACCCGTCTTGGTAGTTGGACCCGCATGCCACCTTGGACAGCAATGTTAATAAAATCAATAAAATAATTTGTGACACACCATCCTTACAAATTACTCTTTATGACATGGCAAATATTGTCATAATATACAATTGGACTAGCATTAAGACATTTTTTGTGACATAAATTTACTTATGTCACTAAGTTTGGATGCCTCTAGATAAATCGTAATAAACTAGTTGATTTAGTGACTTTTTGATCGGATGTCGTGCCATAAACGTCATAAACCGGAACATTTTTTTTTAGTGGAGGAAGCGGAAGGGATAATGATGGGTAATTTTTTTTAAACCGGATGGGTGATTTTTTTATAATAAGCTCACGAGCAAAGCGAGCGGCGGGGTAAAAGCGCAAGTAACGAGGCGGTGGGCCCGCGGGAGTGTCCGGCGATTTGTGCTCGTGTCGGACGTAAGACGCGTAGCATTACCGATTTTTTTAGCCAGATCTTCAACTAGTTGTTAGCCAACTAGCTAAACAAACATAGCTAATTTAGACTAATTTTTACCCACAACTAATTTAGACTATATACGGGAGACTTTAAGGGTTGTAACCTATTGTCCATCTTTTTTCTCGTTGCTCTTCAAGTGGTGAGTCCTAACTTCGGGTCGAGATATATAGAAACCAAAGAAGACTCCAGATCACCAACTGCTATGTACCTGATTGAGTTTGGATTTGGTTGTTGGTGCCTCTGCCCTATTACTAAAGGGTCTTCGGTTTCAATTCGTTGGATATATTTGTCCATGTCTAGAGCAACCGAACGAAACACGCGCCAGATGTGTTCAATTGTTCATCTTCACTGCATGTTTGTTTTCCTTATATCTTAAATGGAGATCCTACTTGGTTTCCCCTGCTTGGTTTGCTTCCATTTTCATATTTGTTTTTAAATGGAGATCTTACAAGTACATCCACAGCAGGAAAATGGAAGCAAACCAAACAGGGGAAGGATGGTAATGCATTGCTCTCACCACGCGACCGATCTGCGAGAGGGAGATGGGGACCCTATCCGTGCTCCGACCCTTCCTGCACGAGCGCGGCATGCAACATCAGAGAGAGAGGGAGGGAGGGAGGGAGGGAGACACAGAGAAGGCACGCACGGTCGTTTCAAGAAGAGGACAACGAGGACGATGGCGAGGAAGTGCTTCGGCGACGGCCGCAGCGGCAGCTCGGGGCTGTTCCTGCTGGGAGCCGGTCCCGCCCGCTGGCGCTTCTCCGGAGGCAGAGGCGGCGGCGGCGCACCGCCGTCGCCGACCGCCACGAACAGCGCCCTCTTGGGAGCCATTGGCCGGACCCGGACCCTCCCTCGCAGCCTGGTCGATCTCTCCCTGCTCCTCTGCTCTCTGGCTCCTCCTCAAGTCCTGGCCGCCGCCGCCGCGTCGGAGGGGACAGAGGAGCAAAAGCCGATCCGCAGTACTTGTCTTAAATGGAGATCCTACTTCTGCAGGTTTGTTTTCCTTATATCGTTGTCCTTTTTCACCTCCTTAATGTATATTTGATGATATAATAATGCATGATATATATATTTCTATTCAATCCGGTTATTCCACCTTGCTTCAATTCTATTCATTCATTTATCCTTTCCGAGAAACTCAATGTTGGATATTTATGCAAATTTGATGGTCATTCTACTATAATGGATATCAAGTGAGATTATAATTTACTAATGGTGGTTATATTTCTTGTAGAAACTTGTTGGCAATTTGTTAAAGTCCATCCATTCTGTTTAAAGGCTATGTGCAAGGCAAGTTGTTATTTGGAGAGCAAATCCCGGGGTGTCGATGTGGGAGGATACTATTGTTCTGGACATGCAATTCATGGCTTGTGCATTTGTCGTTTGTGCAAACATTAGTTATGTCAGAGTAGAAGCGAAGATACCCGCTTATATGGTACAATCTATCGTCAATAAGTCCTGTCCAAATAAATATAGTGTAACATTGTTAACTAGTTAGCTTTCTTCTATGATAGATGCTACTAGTTAACTAGTTGTCATTTTTTTCTTCTAGATTTACCATCTTTGTTTTCTTTGGTGATTCCCTCAAGGAATACTAGCTTTTAGTGGCTAGATATTTTAATAATACATTGTGTTCCCCTCTTTATGAAGTTTTTAAGCCTTTTGGGCTTGTTGCTTTTTGTTTGTGTGACCTTAGACATGTGATGAGCTTGCATCCACCTTAATTTATTTGAAATAAATGTGTGTTATTTTCCTCCTTTGAGCTAGAGGAATTTGTATATTTTGATATGTTCATCAAAATCCATAGCTTCAACGATATACTTCCTCCCTTTTTTTTTCTCGAACATGCCGTGTAGCACGTATTTCATTAAAAGGAAATAGACAACACCAAACCAAATAACAAACGGCTCAACACTAGGTAACCAAAGGTTTCCTAGGCGAGGAGAAAAAAGCGAAAAAGACTAAAGAAAACTACGACGAAGCCCGGCTACTACCATAAGAGAGACTAAAAGCAGCAACGGCTGAGCGACATCGAGCTAGTAAACTAGGCCATGGGCAACGATTGGACGACCTATGGCGGATACCCAGAGGTAGGCTAAACCTCAAGTTCCACCCCCTCCACCAGCTGGATGCCGTCAATCGCGCAGCCAGCCGGGAAGAGCATCCTGATTGCCTCGCGCTTGGACTCCGAGAGAGGCTCGTCGAATACGGCCATGTACTCATCGAAATCGTCGGCTTGCGGCGCCTGATCCTGCTTGCGGACTCCCCATTTTGCCATCAACACGTTCTGTGCTTGCACGGTCGGGTTGGAGGCTCTGCATCTGCTCTTGGCCGCAAGCCTCCCGCTACGACGTGGCGGTGAGAATGTGCATTCAACCGCAGGACGCCTCCTAGGAACACGGAGACGTGGAGGTTCGACCAAGATCGGCTCCATGATGGCAGAGAAAAAGTCTGCGACCGCGAGAGATCGCTGCGATTCTTTGTCGACATCGGAGCTGGCGCCACAGCCGCCGCCACCTCCACGGACGACAAGGCCACAGGTTGGGAAGGAAGTCTGGACGGCGACCCCGCGTGGCCCGAGTGCTCCTCGTCCGAAGAAAGGGCCGAGCGAGATGGGCCAGCGAGCTCCACATTGACGCAGTCGGCCCCCCAACTGGAGGAAACATCCTCCAGATGTGAACGCGCGGCCAAGTCGGGCGATCCACAAAGCTGCTCCAGAAGGAGCGACCCTCCTGCCGGCACCCCCACACCCGAAGGCTTGTCCATGACGACCAACCCCTCGGAGCGCATGGGATCCCATCGCTCATGGGCCGGCACGTCCAGCACCTCGGAAGCGATGGGGTCGAAGAAGTCGTCGAAGGAAACCTGGGGCAGGGAGGAGTGCACGGCAACCTCGCCTGTAGCATGAACCACGGATGGGGCGTGGGGCGTCGACGAATCAGCAGGCAACCCAGAGGTGGCCTTGACGGTAACGCTGCCGAAGCAAAGCGAACTAGACCAGGACCATGCTCTGCCACCCAGCGCACAACACACCCATCAACGGCGAGGAGTGGCAAGTGGAGGCGGTAGCGACAACGTTGGACCTCGGCCGCTTGCAGTCACGCGCTATGTGGCCAAACCCGCGGCAGCGCAGGCAGCGGCGGGGGAGCCGGCAGGTGGCCACCCGGTGATTCCGGGATAGGCAATTGAAGCACCCATCCCGAAAATCGACCGGGAAGATCCAGGGTTTGACCCCCGGTGGGGCGCCTCGCCGAAGGCTGGCCTCACCGCCTCCCCGACACAGTTGCTGGTTGCCCACAGGATGAATTGGAGAACGGGGCAGGATACAGCGCCACCCATCAGCATAAGGGCGGAAACCCTGCTCCGCGGGCCGAGCCACAGTCGAACTGGGATCCGCGGAGGCTCGGAGGGCGGGGACGCACCGCCCCTGCGTGGCGCGTCGCAGTCACCCGTTGCGGCCGCGACAGCCCTCCTCCATATACCACACCCCACGCACATTGCATGCAGTAATTTTCCAGATTTTCATGAACTCGAAGAACATTGTAGCACGCATGTGTGCGATACACCATCCAACTCTGGTTTCTCTGCCTTCTCGGTGCTCACACCTCCCCGGCTAGGCTTGGGAATTTGGGATGCTAGGACGGAGTATTGGAGTCGAAGAGACAATGCCAATGTGTCGATGTCGATTGGGGAATCAGATGGTTGGGCCTTAATTGGGCTGACGGTGCCTGCTGGGCTGAACCAAAGTCAGGCCCCAGCACCAGCCTGCCTAGCCATCTTCTATCACCGGCTCGCTACTCCTCGGCATTGTCACGGCCGAATGCTCGGTCGGCGTACTTGGCAACAGGAGGTAAGGAAGGAGGGGGGTGGGGGTCTGGAGCGACGCCGCCGATAGCACGCATGTGTGATCATTATTGAAAGGAATAATCAAGCATTTGACTCGCAAGCTGCTAATGACATGCGTGCCGCCTGCTGCTTGACGTGGCGGTGTGATCATTATTGAAAGGAGTTGTGATCGATTGGTCCCAAACACAAAGCAGCTAGCAGTACTGCTGTGTCAGGCTAAAAACTGAATGGATTATTCATCCGTGTTTCCGTTTATCCTGAATTTTATCTCACTGTTCAGTAGGTTGTAAGTTCATTCTAGCCAACTCGTGATCTTGACAAGCTGCTTTAGTAAATAGCCGAAACCAAAAGAGCAACTCAACATACAGAGTCAAATAACCATCACAGGGCTACTGGATTCACCAATGGAGTCCCATTCTACACGAGGGCCAACATCTTTTGTTTGCGAAGGACACTAGGGCCAACATCATCCTTCCGCCAAAGAAACCTGATGCCAAGCACATGGGGGACTTCCCCCGGATTAGCTTGAGCATCCACAGCATTAATTTCCACGAAATAGGCTAAGCGATAGGCTCATTTTCTGCTAGAAGTTTTACTTAGCTCAATTCAACTCTCGTCTTGAGCATCTTGATCTTTTCACCTTCCATGTTGCGTTCCACTTCCACCTGACAAATGTCCATGACATCAATGCTTAATTGTTGTCAGAAGTTGTATCATTTATAAAACGACTCCAACACAATTTGCAGCCACATCAGTCATTCATGATTCGGTATAAATATTTATCTTCCAATAGCTGATCGATCAGATTAGGAACAGAATGTATACTCCACCTGGCACCATGTAAAACCCCTTACCTAATTTAGATAACTGCCCGGGTCACAAATTCACAACCCAATTTCAGTATTTTGCTCGTTATTTTTTCCAATTCTTCTATACGCAATTACCTTGGGCATTACTGATATTAGAAGAATGAGGTATCAGCACTCTAGCAGCAGTGTGGTGCCAATGAACATGATTTTTTTTTTTTTTTGGCCAGCAGCACACGCACCAAAAGCTCATAAATATGGTCGCTACAATAGAACCATGGTACATTAAGATGCAGACTATGATCACCTGAAGGTAACTTCATATCAACCAAGCTTGTCAGATGGAAACACCACTATTGTTATTGGGCAGGATAAAGCAAATATAATGTTCAATATTTGTCAAGCATCATCTATCTTTAGTTTAACTGGGTGATGTGTCTGATTACACTTATCAGCGGAACAAAAATTAAATACCCTGTTCAATTCGAAATACAAGGAAACCATGTATTAGTATTTTTTTTTTTCAAATTGAACGGGTATTTATTTGTTTATTCAGCTCATAAGTGTAATCCAATACATTACCCAGTAAAACTAATAAAGATGATGCCTGGCAAATGTATAGAAGAACAGTATATTTGCTTTATATCCTGCCCAATGCAAACCTGTTGCTGCACCTCAGGTGATTGCAGTCTCCATCTTGCATATCGATTTGGTGGCTACGACTTACCAATGCAATGTGTGTACATGGAATGGCTGCCTGCAGGTTGCCGACTGCACTGCATATATATATACACACATACATGCCTGCCGCAGGTGAGAGTGTGATGAGTGGAGTGGGAGTGGGTGAGGGGGCCGGCAAACGGCTTCTTCCATCCGCAAGATGCGCACGCACAAGACGTGTTCTTGCGTTGTAACTGCCGGGCGCCGTACATGAAGATCGGCTGACAAAGATGAGATTGATCGAGACACGTTTGGTGCGTGCAGTGCTCTGGCCCCAACACAAACTAAAGCAGCTAGCGGAAGCAGTGTTGTTGGGTCAGTCTGAAGCTGAAGTCGTCTTTTGCAATTTCAGCTTACTAAAGAAGGTGTGTTCTGAATGAGAGTGTGTCCAGTACGCCGGGGGAAGCAGAAATCAAGCCCATGATATATGAACCCTATTTTGTTTTGGCTTCCTTCTTGTTTAGCCTTAGATTTACGTGCATTTCCACTTATCCTACATTTTATCACGATTATGCAGTAGATTGTATGTAGGTTATTAGTTCTAGTAGGAATCTTGACAAGCTGCTTTAGTAAATAGCTGGAAGCCTGGAACCAAAAAAAAGCAAAGCACAACATGCAGAGTCAAATAACCATCACAGTGCTATTGGGTATTCATCAATCGAGTGCCGTTCTACACTAGTTCAGTACCAACTCTGTCACATCCTTCGGTGTTGCTGCATCATCGACACAGTCAACACAAACAACTCAATGTTTTACAGTTCTCCGAGATTCAGAAACTACTATGAGAAGGAAGACCTCCATCATGTCTACTGCTGTCAGTTCAGGCTAAGCAAGAGCCTTCTAAGTACTAAGTTTTTCCCTAATATCAGTTTCCTGCTCACTTGGTTGTCAGAAGTTACAATAACTCGCCATGAAATACTGTTGTAGGCAGTTACAGTCAGAGAACAATTGCTGAGCAGTAGCATCTCTTGCCAATCGACTTCAACCCTGTAGTCACCCAACCACACCCTTCCTTGTAGCGTTCCACCTGACAAATCGCCATCACAACAATGCTTAACTGTTAGCCATGGCGCGTACTTGACAATTATTGTATACAGAAAAAAAACCCGACAACGACCAAAACAGCGTACTTAACGAAACCAAAGAATTCATGTTCACTTGTTCAGATAAAATGCACTAGCCACTGACATGACAACAAAACGGTATATGTAGTAGGGACAGAAAAG